CTAATTCATACAAACTATGGACTTAGTATTTTGACATCACAAACATCTAATTTGAACCAGTGCTGCATTCAACATATCATTGTGACACACAAAAATCAATGTTTAGCTGTGTTTTTTAATATTTACTTTTAAATTAAGAAATTGAGTAATGTATAGTTCTCAAATTTGAATTATACTTTACAGTTTGATACCAAACTTATTGATATAAATTCATGAAATAGTAGTTCAATGAAATTTTGAATGCGAGGCAACAAACGAGATGACATGGCCTTTCACCTGTGACCCATCTCAAAAGGGTTAACTGAATGTTTGTGGTGTCAGTTTATTAACCCTGTATTGGAGAATCAAGGTTAACTATCATTCCAAAATTACTATGCATATTTAAATTAAATGTGGCATGCTTTTAGTAAAACATACAAGTATGTTGTACACGAATATATAATTAGTAGAAAAGATAATTAGCCATCCCTAATTTCAAATTGATAGACTAGAGAGTATGCAGTAGTTAACAGCATCTACTGCCAACTATTGGGCTACTCTTATCTGACCAGATAATTGGGTTTTACTGTCACTCTTATAAAGCACCCATGGACCCAAAGTGCAGAGCACATTTTTGCAACATTCATATGTGAACCATAGATCCCTCAGATTCAGTCACGTATTCTAACCACTAGAGCATGTACAGCCTAGAGATGATTAAATTTTAGTTTCACTCTGAAAAGTATTTGGCAATTTTATGGACATGGTAGGTTAAAAAAAAGCTCAATAAACATTCTAAACAATCTTTTCAAAAAGTTATACTTGTAAGACTCCATTGTTTACTTTCATTTCCACAAATAATACCAATTAAAATATTAAGTTACATAAAAACAGCCAAAACCTAAGTATATTTAGTAAACATAATAAAAAAAAAGAGAAAGTACAGTTTCAATCCAATCTTACCGGCATTCGGAGCTGATCTTTCAGCCACGTTAGATAAAAATGAAGGTCTGAACCATCCATGAGCTCCCTACTCCAACAAGCTATTTTTGCTAGAATACGGCTTGTCTAAACAAGTGAAAGATGAAAACTAAGCTAAACATTTTGTGAAAACAGTGTTAATCAGTTGTAAGTAACACACAAAGTGCCATGTACATGTTTAAATAAAATCTTGTAACTTGTATTCAAACAACTTTCTACGTATTTCCGTCCTCAAATAAACTGTATAATTTGATGTATTTGCTCATTAATAACCATTCTCAACAGCACAGATGATACAATAATATGGTAAGTATAACTGTCAAGTTATATTTTGTGTATATTATTTTCTTTGTTTTATGCTTTGAAGATGTGCATAATGCTATTTTAATTGCACATATTTCATCAGAATGGACATATATATACATCTGAAGTTATTGAACTTGATTACACATCAACTGCTCACTATACAGCCAAATGGTCTTTACTACATGACAAAAACTATAATTTACATCACATTTTACTCATTATAAACAGTTGCAGGTTTACAGATGGTCCTAACATTGCAATATTTGAAACACTGTAATTGGTTATCTGTTATTCACAATACCAGTTCTAAATTCACAAGGTATAAAGATTCTAAGATAGTTTTAAGCCTATACTCAGGATCCTAAATGATCTAAAATGTAATTAACTAGAAACATCTTATGTTATATTGTAAAATAAATATACAATGGGAAGTTTATCTCGAATATAAACCAATTTTCTTCTTTCAGTAATTCTTTATGAAAAACTAGTGAACAACTTGTCAGTTTGTGACAAACATGCATCTTGATAATTTATCCTTCTTGCAACTTTTAACCCTTTTGCTGAGTAATTCAGATATATCTGAAAAAACATTTATACCCACTGATTGCAAAATTAAAATTTACCCCATGGCTACCAAAAACGTTTCCCTCTGGCGACCTGTATTTGAAACATTCGCCAAACCTGCATGCGTGCTGCCATCTGTGTTCTATGCCATGAAACCTGGATGTTTATATGCCTCATTACAAAATTGCCAACTTTACAGGAACACATATAGAATCTACATAAAGACAGATTCTTTATATCTTGGATATTGTTATCTAAATAATTGGTTTTATATTTTGTAATGATTTTGGCCTCTTAATGACTTAGTTTTGCCTATATTTATGCCATTTACTGGAGATCACTTTGCTTCTAATGCTATAATTTTCCTACACTAAAAATGTATTTCTGATAGGTAGTTACTTCCTCTTACATAAATAGCTATTCTCATTTAGTGCTGCCCTCTATATGCAAAAAAAGTTTTTACTACATGCCACATGTCCATAATCTCCCACTTAATTGAATTGACTGATTCCAATGTGTCTCTCATGCAAATCATCATACTTTCTTGATGCATGTGACTCCTTCTATTCAATTCTACCACTTTATCACTTCACTTTTTGGCAGAAAATGGAAGCACTGGTTTTCAGTGTGGAAGAGGTAAGTACATATCGGAAATACATTTTCAGTATAGGAAAATTATAACTTTCAATATGGTACATTAGCTTTTCTCACATAAATAGCTAGAATCCGACATTGAATAGGTGGAGGGACCGGTGTGAGGGAAAGAAAGAAGCATCCAAAGGATACTCATCAGGAGGAGATCTTTAGAATGAAAGATCTGATGTGAGAGACCACACCACTTCTGAACCAGGTATATTCTTTGCCCATCTCAGAAAAATGTCACATATATGGGTGGAAAAATGGAGGAGCAGATCCAATTGGGAGAGAACTATGGCAGGATAGGGAGCCAAAAATATAAAAGTGGGTAAGAATAAAAGGAGGTGCCCCTAGGTGTAGTGTGGCTAGGGCACGATGGACCATACACAGCAAGTCAACTACATCCAAAAACCATGCCACTGGGAACCAACATCCATGCGGTAGTAGGATGAGGATAATATCATTGGTAAGTAATGATATTATCCTCATCCTACTACCGCATGGATGTTGGTTCCCAGTGGCATGGTTTTTGGATTGTAATTGGGTAAGTCAACTACAATCCAAAATCCAGGCCACCAGGAACTGACATCCATGTGGGGATAGGAAAGAGGATCATACCATCTTCACCTCAAATTCAGGAGACCGGAGACAATTTATTACCCCCGATCCATGAACAGGGCACATGATAATATGAACAATTGATTGATTGATCCGAGAACCTGATATCCGGCATCCAAAATATGTCTACTTAATGTAAACCATTTCCCTCAAATTTGAAATTGACAGGAACTACTCCAAGGACAGTAACATTCTTGGAATAATAAGCATCGAGGGATAGCAGAAGGGGAAGACTCACAATAATCTGCACTGATGAAGTAACAAGAATATAAACAAGAGAGGTAATATAGACATTTGTAATACATGTGTGAGGACTTATGTTGATTGGTTGAACTCTAAATACAAAACCCAGCCACAGGGAATCGACATCCATAAGGGGGTAGGATGAGACTTCCCAATCAAAGGGTGAACTACAATTTTGACGGTTCACTCCCATTTGTTTTTGTTTCATAGTGGAGGATATCACATCATCTACACCAGTAGAACACCACCACCCTACTCTCAAATGAATGGTTTTAATAATCATTTCTATATGTTGTTAGTATTTCATTTACCAATTCAGGAGGATACCTCCTGGCCACAAAACCCTATCTTGAAAAGCAGCCCATATCAGTTTATTCAATACAAGGCACACAGGGGATAGGCAGCAATCCCCTTCTGCTTTACCCATGTAGTCCATGGATGAGTACAGTCCGGTATGGACAAATCTATCATGAGGATAAACCTACAAGTTATCTTGTGGAACACCCCATCTTCACAGTGTGCATTGTCTGGCCATGGAATGATAACAAGTAAGTCAACATGGCTTACAGTGCAGATTTGAATGGTTAAAGAATACCTGGTCAGGCACCACTTGCCACAGAGAGGGATTCAGAAAGAAAAAGAGGGACATGCCCTTGAAAAAGAAGAATTATAGATACTAAAAGGTAACTGACTTAGTCACAGTCTTATGAAAGAGTAGAGGATGGCAACAGGTGGATAACGGTACCCTGACAAGGAAGAAACAGCTACTCAAAGCAGAGAATGGGAGATGAACGTATGAGATTTAGACCCATAAGTACCTCCAAAGGACAGCAGGGTAGACATGCAGAGAAAAAGGAATGTGCATGATCAGAATGAAGACACCAGGAAGTGATGATGGGAAGAAAGAGGCAAGAAATAAAAGGCCAATTGAATCACAATCTAAACCCAATGGGTAAAGGAGGAAGGGAAAAAATCACAGACAAAGAAGTGAAGTAAGGCAAGGAGATGTGGGAAATGGATTTAACAGAAAGAAGCATTGAAAACAATGAAGCAACCCACAAAATGTACTGGACAGAGAAAGTCTTTTGGATCCCCCTGAGAAAAAATGTGGAAAATGGTAAGAAATGAAAAAGTTGAAAGAAATATACCACATGAGCCACTAAAATGTAGGTTAAAAAAGTCGAACCAGAACAAAAGAAACAAATCAAGCCGAAC